AGTCAACTCCAGCTTACATTCCAAAAAAAATTAAAAAAATTGTCGAGCTATAACTTTAGTTTTAGTATATTACATAAAGTCAATAACTGTACTAACTTCTTCGTTATCATGAAATTTCCTTCTATCTTTTCAATTCGCTTATTTTTAAAGCAATACCATACTTTTAAATTCGTTGACTTATTCTCTAAGCATAAATCATGAATCCTAGCTTCCTTTCTGTTACAACTTTCAGTAAGACTGTTGCAGCCTCTTTTCATGTACCAGTTAATTTAAATTTAACTCGCTTTGAAACTAGCTTTTGAATGATATGAATAGAATAATATGATTCCTTTCATATCATTGTTTTGTGCTATTTACTTTAGTTCCGTAGGTCTTGACCTAGAGAAGGGCTACATGGGGCAACAGTAGTCACATATACCCAACGTGGTTTTGGTGAATTTTATACTATACATATAATACCTTTACTATACAAATACTTTGTCGTACATATTTACTATTCAGTATCACTTCAAATTTAAAGAGCTTTAAAATCATCATCACTAAAAGCTCTAACTTTATTATGGTTAGATGAAGTTTTATTACTTGTAGGTAAGTGTGTTTTAGATTCATTCTCACTATTTCTAACAGTATCTGACTTTGATATTGTGTTTTTTTATATCCTTCATTTCTTCCAGGTTTTTCGCCAACACGTTACACCTTTTAGTTCCATATCGTTTGAAACGTTTCTTTTTTCTCAATCAAAACTTTAGTAATCGCTTCTCTGGTGTCCTTCTCCTTGTGTTCCATAATTTCAATGATTTCTTTTATCAATTTCATTATTAATATTAAAAAATTACATATAGGGAGTGCATATAAAAGTTTTTCTTCTAAGCAATCCGTGGTTTAAGTGCAGTTATCCAGCCTTGTTTTTTATTCTTTTATTTCACGCCTTTAGTGCAGTTAGTTAACTTTTAATTTATTAAATTGGAATTCATTTTAGTGCAGTTAACTAACACTTAATTTATTAAGTTGTAAGTTATTTTAATGCAGTTAATTACCACTTCATTTTTTAAAGTGCAATTAATTTTAGTGCCGTTAGTTAACATTTAATTTTTCAAATTGCAAGTCTTTAGAATGTGACATAAAAGCTTTTACATTTTCACTTTGTGAAGAGAATATTTTCACTATCCAAGTCAGTAATTTTATTTAATGATTTTGAGAACTGTTTCTAGACAATTTGTTAATTACTTTTAAATGTTTATTTAAGCCAGATACTAAATTCTTCCCTTTCAACTACTATTTTATATCTTCCACTAATACTGCGCTATAATGTACAGTATATTTTGACACTAAGTAGAATGTATACAAAAAGTAATTATTTACTTAAGGCAAGATTTAATAGACATAACGATATAACTTTAAATGGTTGAAAACTTTTTTAAAGCTATTTAAAACGTTATTAGATCACACACAAGTTCTTGGAATAAATATGAAAATCACTGCATTATCCTTGCAGATGTTTTCTGCAATGCATACGCAATTTTACTCGTACGAAAGCAAGGCAAAAACACTCGCCGCAGCTGTTCTTCAAAGGAAATCGCATTGAATTTCAAATGCTTTCTCGCTGAAACTAAAGACTTTACGACTCCAAAATATGTGCATATATGAAAATTTTTATGGATTTTGTCGGTGCAGAGTTTTCCGATTTTTTGCACACACGTTCCCGATCCTTGGGAACGTGTGCAGAAAAACTTGTAGAAACCTGCTGTAGCTGCTCAGATTCCCCGGTACTCGCCATCCGCCTCCATTATTTTTAAATTATTTTTTACGCTGTTTTCTTCTCGGTCCTCATGATTTGAGTGAATTTTTATGCGTGAATTTTATTGCGCTGTGTTGCTGCTATCATTGTAAGCGCATAAAAGTATTTCTGACTGAAATTACAACGATTTTTTATTACACTTCGCAAGTATAAAACAAAACATTATAAATTTACGCGGGACTCTTTTTTGCTCCTTAATAGAAATTTTTCGCTCCTCCTGGGTAAAGGAGCTTGCTTCAGGAATTTTAAAGCATTTTATGGTTTACCCTAATTTATTATATTGCAGTTTCTTTTACGCTGAGGCACTCCCAGTCCCAATAGAATCTTTAAAAAATGTGAAATTGCGCTTTAATCTGAAATGATTTTCAGTTGCTTGAGTAACTAAACGGATGTAAATATTTTGAGGAAAACGCATCATCATTTTCAGGGAATAAAATTAAAGGATACAATTTTTAAAAAAAGGATTTTCTAGTGAATAGACTTTTCTAGTCTAGACAAAGTACTTTTTAAACTTTATCTGTGCATTTAACGACAAAAATTACTTATTACTTAAGTTTATTATAAAGTATTTCCTACCAAAGTTTTGACTACCAGAAATTTAAAATTTTGGATTAAGTCTTCTGCATTGATTCTTATATGGGTTTTACAGAAAAGTGAGAAATGCAGCAAAATTTTATTATTTATTTATTTATTTTAATTAGTTATTTATTAATTTAACTAACATTATTTTTTTTTGTTTTGTTTTGGTCGCACTTAACATATAAAACATAATCTATATACAACATATTGTTCTGAATATTGAGTTTAAGTTATCAGTGAATTAGTTTCTAAGAATGTCAGATAGTTTGGAAAATAAGTTGGGATATATTGTTATTATTAGAAAGAAGTGTGTTACATTAAACTTCAGTTAACTATTTCATTACTTATCAGGATCCAGCGATCGCGAACGACCACGTCAACATAGGAACGTACGCAGCAATATGTTAAATATGGTATACCCATAAATATATATAGAAATATATAAATATAAATATGCAAAACAAAATGAGACGAAATTGTTTGTAGTTTCTAAAATCTTTTTTCAAGTTTTTTAAATCTATTTTATCACCTTAACAGTACTCCACCCGATGTAATGAACTTATGCCAATATTTTCCTTTTGGCTCTGAAAAACATTCCTAAAGTCGATCGTCAAACTCTTCAATAGCCGATAATCGAAGAAAACCGTTAACATGGAAAGTTAACTTTTTAAAATTTTAATGTTAAATTTTTTAGTTAACTTTAAATAATTATTGCATCATTGTATAACTCATTGTACACTGAAGGTGGTCTACAAAGTAGACCGAAATATCTGTAATACAAATAATTTTTTATAAAAATGAATAAACGATTTAGTATTTAACAACTAAACACCTTAACAGAACACCTAAACAATCTGGGTACATCGTTGACATCATACAAATTGGTACTGGGTTCTTCTTGTGCCGAACTTTTTAACAAAAGATGGGAAGAGTCTGCGATATGCAGGTATCTGCATGCAATATGGCCACATACCAATAAAAGAAAATCGAACTCTCTCATTGAGATGCCCCGCAGAGATATAACACTGCTACGTAATCATGCTAGGAGACTAATCTCTTTTTAAACCATATCATCCGCAGTTGTGGTGAGGATGATGAAAATGCCTCCCACCTGTTTTGTTTCTGTCCGGCACATCCGCGGCGCCTCCTTATCATTTCAGGTGCTTTCTTTTTTGAGGATCTTGGCAAACTTCAAGACTTCCCTTTAAATAGTATCATAAGCTTTGTCAAAAATTCTAGATGGTTTTAGCTCTAGGATTCTTAATAATACGGTAGTACAATGAGCCTATGGTCCAAAGGATATAAGCAATGTTTGGATCGAAAACCCGTCGGTGATATGGTAAATATTACTAAATTTTTTTAAAGAAATATTTACTGTTGATATTTTTTAAACAATATAAATTAAAAATATAGCATAAATAAAAAAAAAAACTAAAACTAAACATATTGAACTTTATATAAACTTTATAAGAACTAACGTACAATTAAATTCGCATTGAAGTATATTAAGTCATAGTTACTGACTGAAGGAGTGCGAATCTAGACATACAAACAAAAGGCAAGCTGTACCAAACATACATTGGTGAAGCATGGACTACAAAAAGACGACGTGACGTAAAACGTGAAAAAAGTGCCAAAATGAAAGTATGGCTCCTTAAATGAAAACGAAATTCAGAAAGATCTATACACATATAAGTTAAGAAGTTTGTTTAAGAATGCTGATAAGGAAATTACATTAAATATTGTTGGATATAATATATTTGAATCATAATAGAGGAACCTCTCGGTAAAAGTAAATAGATTGTGTATAAAAATAATACAAAAATAATAAATATAAGAAACAGTGACAAATCCTATTACAGGCGAAGACACAATGTACTATACAGCCAAATATGATAATGATAATGGTAGCCTTAAATATAATTTCATATAAGGTAATACTTTCTTTACTTTCTAGTTTTATTTTACTAAACGTTATTTGAATATATTATTAAAGACCATACATATTATCATATAGTAAACTAAATATATGATTCAAAAAAACAAAAATTAAATTCTTTAAAGATACTTTAGATATATTTAATGATGTTTCTTATGTAGTTTGTAAACATAAACTTAAATTAATTTTAATATAAAAAGAAACATCAGATATTAATATATCATTAAATAAATACTCTTGTGTAAATTTTAATATTTATTGCCATATATGTATTTGCCTTTAACAATATGCGTGTCCTTATTTCGTTGAACTTTAAATATGAAGTTAATGGCAGCATAATCCTTCCAACCAATAATTACAGTCGGTGTGTGAAGTTGACGTAATGTTATATTATTTGGGCTAAAAGTAGGACTTGTGAATGTTTTATAAACAATAATTATTAAAATTGAAAATCAGGGAGCATTAAATGAAAGCAATAATTTCGTTTGCATTTTAAATCAGACACAGAAAATCATATAAAAGCTCTCAGTGCCTTTAGACATTACAGTGTTATTTTCGAAATAAATGGAGTACGAAATCGGAAGTGAAAAGTTTAAGGTCAAAAATTCAAAATCAAAACGTTTTTACACAACAACTATTTAATTCAACAAAATATCAAATTTCAAATATATTTGAGCACAAAAAATGAATTTAGCGAAATTTGACGATTTTGTGCGATTATCAAATTTTTTCTATAAAACAGTTGGCATAAAACCCTATGAGAAGCCGGACACCATAAAAACGAGTTCCTTCCTGCAGAATTTTGTATTTTACGCAGGTACTCTTAATTTGGTAATCGCTTTAATGGGAGAATTCCTCTACGTTCTGATAGCATTCAAAAATGGCACTAACTTTGCTGAAGCAACCATGACAATGTCTTACATTGGCTTCGTTTCGGTTGGCCTATTCAAAATGCTATCAATTTGGTGGAAGAAGGATGTACTCACAGCCTTTGTACGGGAACTTTTAGCAATATTTCCCAACACGGCACAACGGCAAGAACAGTACAAGTTGAATAGTTATTTACGCCAATGTACCTTTGTCACGGTTGGATTTTCACTGCTTTATATGATACTCATCTGGACATATAATCTATTTGCGATGGTGCAGTATCTGGTGTATGAGCGTTGGTTGCAGTTACGCTTTGTTGGACGCATGCTGCCCTATTATTTGTACATACCTTGGAATTATGAAGATAATTGGAGTTATTATCTGCTCTATGCAGCACTCAATTTTGCTGGTTACACTTCAGCTTCTGGACAAATCGCAGCGGATTTGTTGTTATGTGCTACCGCCACACAAGTGCTTATGCACTATGATTTCATTTCGAACTGCATTGAGCAACACAAAATAAATACCAAAAATAGTGGAAAGGATATGCTTTTTCTAAAGGACATTATTGCTTATCATGAAAAATTGCTAAAGTATGTACTTCATTATAACTCCTTATTAAGTTTTTATTATTTTAATGATGATAATTGAATTTTTAAACATTATTATTAACAATAATAATTTATGAGACAAGTTTAATTTTATTTAATATATTTAATTATTCAAACACTACATATGTTATATTTTTTATATATTATATTTATTAATGTAAGATATATATAGGGTATTTTTACATAAAAATAACAAATAGTTTTGACTCAACCGATTCATTTTATTCAAAATTATGCTCTGATGACTTAGTACGGCGTATTAAAGACACATTATGTCCTTAAGTATGTTGCAACTAGCGTTTCGGATGGCTTCATAGACAAATCCATTTTACCGCAAAGATGAAACTCGATATCAAATATGCGGGAAGTGGATGCCCTTGACGACCAATATTATGGCTGATAAATGGCTAATTACAATTTTCATATTTAGTAAAGTCATGTTTGCTATCGAAAAAGCAATTATAAAATATAAGCTAAAAGATTTCTTGAAAAAAACTATATCACTTTGAAGTATAGATATATCATTATAGCTGTGAAAGTCAGACTTTATCAAATAGGGCTTAGCTTATAAAGTAACAGTTTCAAAGTCATTTTGTTAAGTTGTGATTAATTTACAATGTGAAATTAATTATTTTAAAATTTTGCAAATGTATTTATTCAAAATTATTGGTGCCAAAAACATTTGGAAAACTGTTGACCAGTTAAATATATTTACAATTGTCATCTATCATCAAATTATAGTTGTCATAAGAATCAATACTCCAACTCAAGGGTTTTAATAAAGACGCTCTGCTCCTTTAAGAATGTAAAGCATTGAAAGAGAATATATACGCAAATGTATTAAACCAAAAATGATTAAATGAAAATATATGTTACAATATTTAATACCACTGAATCAATTAGTCATTCGAAAAATAGTATATAAATCAAATTTTATTATTGGTTTGTTTCTTATCTCCACAACAACACATGAAGTGTATAATAACTTTTCAATGGATATCTGAATACAATTAAAAACGAGTCATTCCCTTTACAATCAGCCTATCTCACAATCCTCTTTACTTCACCTTTCTTGGCAAGCTCTTCTCAATTTTCCATTCTAAACTCTACTCCGTTTAAATTTCCTACCTATTCGCGAACACTTTTTTTAAAATTACATTGTCTCTAGACATTGGACCCATCTTAGTGAAACCCTACTTATACAAGTAATGGTAAACACAACTGAAACTATTATAAATTAAATTTTTTCCGATGGACATATTTTATATTATTTATAGTCAATAAATGTTTATGGTCAATATATTTTAATAATATGAAGAAAAGGTATATGATCAAAAGTATCAGTTTCGCTCGTACTGCAGCTAACTTTTTACTCAATATTACGATAGAACTCAAATTATTCCAATAATAATTATAATGTTATTAATAATAATTAATAATTATAGTGTTATTAATAATTTTTATGACTAATAAAAATTTTAGTTTATCTGATATGATGAACGATGTATTTGGCGTCCCACTACTCTTCAATTTTATGACATCGACTTTTGTGCTGTGCTTTGTGGGATTTCAGATGACAATTGGCGTCAGTCCCGACATGTTATTTAAGCTGTTCCTGTTTTTATTCTCCTCTACAGCACAAATCTATTTAATCTGTTACTATGGACAGAAGCTAATGGATGCAGTAAGTAGTAATAATGTATAAACTATAAACTGAGGTTAAATAAAAATTGTAGTTATATCATGTGGGACATGATAACTAATGGTATATAGCCCTCTTATTTAAAGGCTTCTCGAGCTTTCACAAGAAAATTTCTTTTTGATTGTTTATAATTTCTATCCTATAATGGTATGAAATATCAGAAGAAAATAATTTAAATATATATATTTTTTCATATAGAGTATGGGAGTTGCTCGTGCTGTTTATAATCAAAATTGGTACAGCGCCGATGTCCGATATAAGAAAATGCTGGTGCTAATTGCAAAACGTGCTCAAAAGCCAGCTCTACTCAAAGCTACTGTTTTCATCAATATTTCGAATGGTACAATGGCAGACGTGGGTCAATTAAGTATTATACCAACCATTAATAAATTTAGTTCCTTTTTTTTCCAGATATTTCAGATGTCGTATAAATTTTTTGCACTACTGCGTACTATGTATTCGAAATAATTTGTAGCAACACTAAAATAGCTGAATTAAAAGATAATCACTATTCAAAAAATTTAATTACATGTTTGAGTAATGAAAAATAAATGCTATCTATTCAATTACTATCAATAATTAATGTAGCAATAACTCACTTATTCAATTTATTTATTAAATTATTTTGTTATTTTATTTGAAATCATTGTGGTAATGGATATGTCTCCTATCCGTGACAGCAATTCAATATATTGAGGGTTGTAGAAAGGTTTGGATAGTATGGTATATATGTAAATATATTATTTTTAATTCAAATTAAAACAAATTAATACAAATTTTTATATAAAGTATTAAAAAATATTCCGTAAAAAGTGATTTAAAAGAGTTTCATATTAAAAATTTTGGCAAAAAAGATAAATGACAAGTATTAATTATAGCACTTCTTCTTAATAATATACAAAGAGATTTTATTAATAATTAGTTAATCAACTTATAATTTTTTTAAGATTTTTAAGAAATAGTTGCTATATATATTAATTAAAAAGTTTGATGCATATACTGACATTTTCATGTTAAACTTATATTTTACTGTCCATAATATAGCATCAACATGTTGTTTCAAATGACTACTTGAAATGTTGCTTATTTTAATATTAATCAATTTTAATAAGTTTGATATTTACATCGAACTAAATATTTTGATATATTTTAGAATATTAAATAGCATTTCGAAATAATTTTATTATAATTTGTAGCAAACAAAATACTTACACAAATCTTAAGGATTCACAAAAGAATAATATCTCATTAATTTCATTAAAAACTTAACATAAATAATGTGGTTTACTAATATTATTATTTCATTTTTTAAAATGTATTTATGTATTGAATTTATATATTTATTTAAATGTATATTATGAGAAAATTAATTTTTACTTTGTGTTAAAGTTTCCTCTAACATGTTGCATTAATAAAGAGTATACATGTATCATATACATTTTGCCTACAAAAGTTGCTGTGAAGTGAAATCAACATGTTTCGCATACATTGGCATATGGAATACAAAATGTTGCTTGAATAGAAAGAATTCAATCTTTATTTGATTTTTTTATATTAACTACTACCATAATATATGAAAACACAATATATAACATTATTGATAATATTTCACATACTAAATATAATTTAAAAGCTGTGGAACGCTTTTAAATGTTTATCTCTAATAATGTGTGCCCAAAAATATTGATATGACTTTAATGTGGTATAAGTGTATTTTTATAAACTGTTAAAATTTTATATAATATCATGTTATATTTAACTAAACTTGTATAGTACGAGATCTTCGTAATAAGTAATCATACATTTTTCACTACACACAAGATTTTGGTCAGCAAGTTACTTTTTATATATGCAAGAGATATTATATATTAAAAATATATAATCAATCACCCCAAATCACCTTAAATATATATGTAACTACAATTCAAAGTATTGTGGTTAAGTCCTAAGGTACGTTAAAAATAAAACTATTTATAAAACTCTAAGAATTAACAACCAAAAAATATTCTAAAAGTGAAGCTATTAGTACTATAGACTGGGGTCGTGAGCTCTAAAACGTTCATGATAGTGAAAAATCATGGATTTTTATCAATTAAATGAGGTATGTCGACATCTAAATATATGAAATAACTATGAAAAATCACAGTGTGACATACTGTGTCACACATACGACAGTGTTAAATGATCTCCTTCCGATTTTTTCATTAACAATTGACGATTTCATTAATTTATTTGCAAAATATTAAAATTATTTAATTCCACCAAAGAAAGCATGTTAGTTAAAGATATACAACCTAATAAAGACTTTTGTTAACTAAATGAATTTAAATATTACAATAATCCTTGTAATTTTCACCCATGAAGAAGAAAAATCGTTCAAATGCACTTCGATTTAATCTAATAAATAGACCGCGATATAGCTTCAGTTGTATATAAAGTAATAATTTCGAACAAGAAAATATAAAAGTGAGAAACTTCAATAGAAATGTACAAATCTAAGGCACAAAACTGAGATATCCTAAAATATCATTTCATACTATTTATATCATTTAATAATAAATAACATGTTTAAATAAAATATTAATACAAAATAATACTAAATTAATACTAAACGAAGCCACCACTCCACTACTCCAATAAAATCTTAATAATGAAAGGTTGTGTTGATGTTGAAAATAACCATGTTGAGTGAAATGTGTTGCATCAACTCTAAACTATAGCCAAACACATGTCAACATGCTGCATCCAAAAATTTGATTTATGTTTTACTTAAAATGTTTATATCGTATATTAATATATATGAAATAAAAATTTATTTAAATACGTAAAGTAATAATTTATTTAAATATTATTTTAACAACAAAACGATTATTGTTTTTTACAATAAAATAAATATAAATGTAAATAATTTATTTATTAATATTCATTTATCAAAACCCTGATATGCAATAATTTCGCTACAAATTTTAAACGAAAATAATATTTTTTTTACTCAACTATTTATAGCCACTTTTTTATTGATATCATATCCTCATACTGCACGCCCTTATCAACATGTTTTAAACATTCATCATAATAGCAACACTTCAACAAGACTTCATCAACATGTTGTTAATTATTTGGTTTTGTTGCTTATCATATGTTTCAGTAAATTCGTAATGTTGCCTGTACTCATTTTCGGAGTGTTTTAAAAGCTTTTATTCTGGTCTCATTTGACTCTCCTTTTTTGAATTCTCATTTTTTGTACAAATTTACTCTCATTTCCACGCTCAACATTTTTGTGTTGACAAATTTTTTGTTAAGCATTTCTTTGCCTTAACCGCCCATGACACTTTCTTTGAATTCAAGTAAATGTTGCGTACGCATGGTTGGCAACTTTTACTGTTGTGCAGGCTATGGCTTCTGCATGTTTCAAGTGTTGGGTTAACAACAAATTCAGTCAGTAAGTCAGTGGGTCAGTGTGAGCTGCTGCCGGAAGATACATGCTGCGGTGATAGTTTTTATCAGCGCAAGCACGTTTCTTTGGTTAAAAGGAAAATTATGTTGATTACGATTTCTCCCGGAAGGGAAGTATTTTTTATAAAATCTTCATTTCATTATAATTAATATAAACCAGTATTCAATTATTTAATTAATTACTGATGCAGATATTTTTAAATACATTTTATTATATATTATATATCAACAATTTCATGTTAATTAATTTATTTGTCCATTTTATGGGATTTATTATTTAGCTTGTCAATGTATGAATGAATGTATAATATACATTTGTATGTATTTATATTTAATGAATTTAACATAATTAAATTATTTTGTCTTTATTTGAATTTAATTGCGAGTGAACTTTTATATTTTTTAAAATATATGACATTAATATATATTTCAACTCAGCTTTATGCTATTTCCAGGCTATTAAAATAATAGATGACATAATAGTACAAGTTAATCACAACGATATTGTAAGACTGGAAAAAAATCTTGTGAATAATATATCATATTCTTGATTATCAGATATATGTAAATTATACGAAAAATGTTTATCTATATAAAAGAATATGAAGCTATCTATCTTTTAAGATATAAACTAGATTCTAAAAATCCAATGACTATGACTTCTTCAAAATTTCGTTTGGTAAACCTCAAATATGAACAAAAATTAATTGTATTTTATCTATATAAAATGAATATACCAATATCGAATTTAAGTATAAAATTTAAATATTTATATGTGTAAACATTCACTTTATGGTTCCTTAGTGCAAAGATAGTGCTTAGTGCAGCAAATAGTAATATAACTGTTATTCTAAGATGATTACTAATTTTGAAAAAATAAGTGAAAATAACAGGAGAGTAACAGGGAGTAATTTAATAAATAAAGCAGCTAAACTAAATAGAAGTTCAAAAGGATCATATTAGACTTTTGTTTAATGTTGACTTTTGACAACTATTGTTAGTTTCATTGGTCTTGTCTTTAAAGAAAACCCATAATATATGCAGCTACTTAATATTTCGTTTTTGCACACTTTAAAATTTTAGATCTTACATATACATATATATATACATATTATATAATGTGATTAAAAAAAATTTATTAATTTAATTTAAATAATTTTATATAATATTTAAAAAATAAGCTTATTAGTTAGAAATTACTTGCTGATTCACTTTACAGCGAATAACGATGAAATTCACTTACAACGGTAAAATAGAGAAATTATAGAAATTATATATTATGCTTTCTTTCAGCATTTTTACTTTGTTTTAGAATTATTTTCCTTAATAATCCCCAGAATATACATAAACAAACTTAATTACAAAGAATAACTTTATATGATGTTAATTGGCGTTAGTGCCAAAAGCCGACAAACCCATTTGAGCACGTCATATGATGCAATCCCTGAACCTCGTAGAGGGATATTTTAAAGTTCGCACAAACTCAAAACTGAATCATCTAATTAATAAGGGGACAATATCCGTTATATTCAAAAACAATAGAAAAAATGGCTTGACCACATTATTTAAAACATGATGAATACAAAACTTGTTGATTCCAAAAAAAAAAACTATGAGCTTTTAAAAGAAATAAAAAACCCCAGTATCAATGAATGGAAGCTTCTACTCTGTACTGAATCATGAACATCCACTGTTGAATAATCATCAGTATGCAGAGCATACTAAAATCAAAGAATGCTAATATAATATAGTGAAGGTTTCTAAGATCCACCACATAGGATAATTCCAGAAAAACTTTTTGTATCAGAAAAGCTACATACCTATATTTCGTTTTCTACGACGATAGACGGTTCTTAAGACTATGTTGTATTTTGTTTTGGAATATAGAACTGTAATTATTTTTCATTTGTTTGTTATATCTAGGTGTGAAATACAAATGATTGCTAAAATTATATAATGATTGTATAAGAATATAATTGAGAAGCGCTTAAATATATATCTAAAAAGCTTAT